GTCATCGCATTTGCTCAACAAAACACCCATCTCGATCGAGATATCTTAATAGATATAGAGTTAGCTGGTAACCGTTCAAATACCATTTCCGCTGTAGAACCTGGCGCTGTTATGGCTTCATTTATACCAACTGAAGAAGATTGCCAACGTGTAATGAACAATGTAGAGATGACCAATGAATTTATATTTGTTGTCGACTGTAGTGGATCGATGGAAGATGAGAACAAGATCGGATTGGCACGGGAAGCTATGTTACTCTTTCTCAAGAGTCTGCCAGTAGATTGCCATTTTAATATCATACGATTTGGATCAAATCATGTGGCATTATTCAAAGAGATCACTTCTATTTACAACGAACAGAATGCTCAAAAAGCTGAACAACTTACCAAACATTTACGAGCTGATTTGGGCGGTACTGAATTAGTAAGTTTCATCGATGTTATCTTAGAAAATCGACCATATGTCTTCATTCTAGTTAGGTCCACTTCAATGGTTAGAACAACATCCTCCAGGACAAGGTCGTGCACGACAAATATTTCTCTTGACTGATGGAGAAATTTCAAACGTCAACGAAGTACTCGATTTGTGTCGTTCGATGGCTACTTCAACACGAATCTTTTCATTTGGTTTGGGTCATTCACCAAGCCGTTCTCTGGTCAAAGGCCTTGCTCGAGCAACAAACGGACGTTTTGTTTTTATTCCACCTAACAGTAGTGTCGACATTTATGTTGGTGAACAATTACAAAAAGCTCTTCAATCTTGTATAACAAACATAGAAGTGAAATGGAATTTAGGTACGAATGTTATGAGTGCACCCACAAAAATGCCACCGGTCTATGTTAATGATCGTCTGATTGCCTATGCACTTGCCAGTGATCCAATGTTTGTCTTTGATCACAATCCTAGTGTCGAATTATTGACCGATAAAAGTCGATTGGGCAGAGCAAATGTTGATACAATACCGAATGTCAGTGTCAATGGTACCATTGCTCGACTTGCTGCTAAAGCACTCATTCTAGAATTGCAACATTCGAAATTACCTTCATCGGTCAAGCAAAACATTTCAGGTTCGCTACAAAGTCGGTTTCAAGAAGATCGTCCATCATCAACACCAGCAACGACGATCGATGAGAAAGAAATCATAAAGAAACGCATTATTGAGCTTTCACTCAAGTATCAAATTCTGAGTCCCTACACCGCTTTTATCGGTGTCGAAAAACGAATGAATGCCAGCAATGTTGATATGGTCTTACGCGAAATACCAATTCAAATATCGGCTGATGACGAACACTTACAAGTATCCCAGGTCATGAATTTTCCTGCCTGTATGATGCCATCACCTCCGATGATGAATCGTTCAATGCTAGCACCAATGTCGATGGCTTCGATAAAACAATCGACGCTAAACTGGGACATGGATTGTGCCAATTTAAGATCGATGTCTCAAGTAGATTTATTGTTAAATGATCTCGTGTATAAAGACTGCTTGGAAGCCGAAATAGCAGAGTCTGATGATTTAATCTCATCAACTCACAGTTCTAATTACCCTCCAATCAGTTCATACCAGCAGTCTTTGATCGACCAAGACAAAAGTGAAGCATGGCCTATAGGAGATCAAAATATTGTTCGCTACTTGATCAACAAACAAAAATTTGATGGTTTATGGGATTTGAATACAAAAAGTATAGAACAATTGACTGGAAAATCATTGACGAATTTTCCATCATTCAACAATCAGCAAATTCTCATTACGGCTATTGTTGTTGTCGCACTTGAAACGCGTTTCGCCACAATGTCGACAATGTGGCATGGTGTAGTGCAAAAAGCTCGCAAACGCCTTCTCGATTTACTTGGCAAAGATGCTAAACAACTTCAATCGTTATTGGAGAGTATTCGTCAACAATTTTGAACATTATTTGTCATCGATTAAACATGAATGTTTTGCCTGCTTTTATCATTTATCTGTAGAGCAAAAAAACAAATAAAAGTTTTAGTCCACAGAAAAGAAAACAATAGAGAGATCGACATTTAACCGAAAGAAGAACATATTCGACTTGACAGTCGATTTACAGCGAACATCATTTGAATAACATTGACATCATTACAGATCAAAACCTAAAAGATATTCCAGAAGTGCGAAAATCATTTTAAAATTTTTTGCTCTCATATTCAACATATCCAACTCCTTGAAAGTTCGGTGATTATTGCACCTATTTAGTACTAAATCATATATGTTAAACTTGAAACTTGAATTTGATTGAAATTTCAATTTTCAATTTTCACGTTCAAATTTAAAACTTTCAATCATCAACTTTCACCTTTCTGTTTTAAATTTGTAGTTCTCATCTTTCAATTTTCACTGATACAATTTTGATTTTCAATTTTAAACTCTCATCTTTCAACTTTTCGCGCGAAAGAAGATACATCGCGTCTTTTTCGAAGTAGGACAGGATCCTTCCACAGATGTGAGTGCCACGAAAGGACTGACCAAATAGAGGACATATGCAAAGGAAACACACAAATCATCGCAGTTGGTGTGGGTACTACGGAAGGACTGATGGAATAGATGATATACATAAACGTGAAACTTGAAATCTCAGTTGAAATCAAGTTTCAAGTTTTATACTACTAATATTCTGAGGGTCGTTAGATCTACTCATGCATGAAATTTCAAGTCGAAATTCCACCATAATAATCGATCGAAAATTCCGTAAAATGACCATAACTCAATTGGAAAGGGCCATGGGCATGAATCCTTTTAGACTTGTTCTAGTCATACTACAACCTCCTTGTGGGCCTAATATATGCTGAAACGGTTGCTTACAGTTGAAGCTTTACTTTCAATTTTTCACTTGTTGTCTCAAATCATTTTCTGATCATAGACTGATCATGAACAACAAAAATATCACGTTCTTTCATAATAGGTAATCATGATAATTAGATTTCCTCATCATGGAATGAACATTGATTAGAATAATGAATAATTACTAATCAGAGGTGAAATAAAACGATGTTACCATAGTTTTCAAGATTTCTAGTGTTTTACTCCATTTTTTAAAATTTATATTAATTCAAGCGTTATTTCCCACTATGGCTTTCGTTTGTTGTTATTCAAGAGGAAAAGAAAACATTTATAAACAAAAAAAAAAATACTCTACTCTTTTTGAAAACAAAAGTGAAATATTTGCATTGTTAAAAAAGACCGATTTTCCTGAAATACTCGAATAAAACTTTCTGTTTCGGAGGAAATCGATGATTCCATCTGAAAATTAGAGAAAAAGCTTTCGATTATATGCATACTTTTCTCATCTTTTTTTTATACAGGAGGAAGAAATCTCCTCGCTATCACTCTTCAATCATATGACGTGCTACTGACAATCGTTGTAGATACAACAATGGGATGGAAAGGGCAAATTCATATTTGATAGTTTTTTCGAAATCCATAATGTAAACAATTTAGATAAAGTGTTCGAAGAAAAAAAAGGAACTCTACTAATGGGACCATATCTCATTCAAACACGAAAATAGATTTTCGAATTTTATAAGCACATTTTTAAAACAACGAATTACATCGTTCAACGCTGTATTCTTTATGAAAATTTTAATCTATTTATATTTAGTTTCTCCAAAGAACTTTTTAGTTTTCGTAATTCTTAGAGAAAATCCTGGAGGATTATGCATTTAAAACAAATAATAACAATGAAAATGGAAAAAAATTGTTTTATCGAATTTATGGAAACAATTGTTTTTAACATAAGCAGATGATTTCGATTTGTGTGTGGAATTTTAGTTGTTTATTATTTTTTTGTGATTAAGATAATACTAAAATAATGAAATTTATTGATGTTATCAATGAAGTAAATACAATAAATAATAGTTACAGTCCTAGACAGAAGTAACTACCCGACCATGAAGTATTACTATTCTTTATAATATTGAACTGATGTTTTGAGTGCATATGTACAACAACAAAATTGGGTTGCAAGTACCAACCCGCTCTTCATCGGTTCACATATACTGCAATTATGATTTATATATCTTCTTTCAATTACGAAAAAACATATTCAGTTTTTGTTTGTCATTTTGCTATTCAACGAGTTACTCCTGGTTTTTGTTGTTTTTAATGAAAATTCATCTACGGATGATGATGAACCATATGACAAAGTAAGGGTGTGAGTGAGAAGACCTACATTCACATCCGATAATATATATTTATCAAAATGTAACTACTGAATATTTCTATAAATTTATCTATACAACACGGGCGTCTTTATGCATTTTTGTCTAACACACGTTTATGTTTCTATTTTCTGTGTTAGTAATTTCAAACATAATAAATCATTTTTATGATCGCCATGTATATTTCACGAATGTCTTCAACTTATTGTAAATCTTGTATATTTTTTTCTTCAGATTACCATAAAATTTTAAATCAAATGGAAACATACATTTCTCATTACTTTCTTATATGAAAGTTTATTTGTTGAATGTCAAGTATTCAAAAAACAAAACAAAACAAAAAGAATATATTTATAATGATTTGCAACGTCTCTTGCCTATCATATTGTTCACTTAAACTTTTTCTTTTTCTGTACAACCAAAAACAAAAAAAAAAGATCTATACAAGATAACAAAAAAAAAGAACCAAGAGAATAAATGAAAGGCAGAGTATATAAACATTTATCAGCATGCATTAATTATATGCCTTATTTGTTGTTAAAGAGAAAAACTATGGTTCATTATGAACAATAAAGCACATGAAGAAAGTAGAAACCGGTCAATTTGTACATAAGAACGTTCAAGATAGTAAATTTTTGATCAAAACAAAGGCCAAACATACTACTTGTTATAAGATGACACAAAAAAAAAATAAATGTATTGAAGTAATATTAAGCCAATAGAAAAAGATATTACATATACACATACACAAACATGAATCACAGTAAATAAGAGAAAAGAAAAACAGAGAAACTTATATATAGATAATATTTAACTTTTTACTAAGGTGGATGAAAACGTGTATATTTTGCACTTTCAGGATGAATTTCCATTTCAGAACTTTTATATTCATTAAGTTCTCTTCGTATAAGTTGTTTATCTCTTTGTGTTAAACGTGTCCATGGTTTATCAGCACGTCGATCAACATCATCACAATCGGATACTTCAATATAATCACAAAAACGAATAATTTTTCGATCTCGAAGTTCTATAAAAATTAATTAATATAATCAAAATTAAAATATTTCCTTTTTTGTTTTTACCTTGAATACTTGGTCGAAAACTAAGTTTTCGTATTAAATAACGTTTTTTTTCTTCTTTTTCTGCCATTAATTCAGCTTGTGTTTTAGCACGTAAAATATTTCGTGCTTCAAGTTCTTCAGGTCTTGGTCGTAATGATAATTTACGTTCTAATTTTGTTTCAATATTTTCACGTTCATTTTTACGTTCATCGAATGATTTAACAAGAATATGTTTATCATATAATTCATCTGGTAATGGACGATCTTTAAGAAAACGTGCTAATGAATCATTACGTTGTACATTAGCAAAACGTTTTTTTGGTGTATAATTTTCTTCATCGGATGAAGAATTTTCATCTGAATTTGTATTTTCTTCATTATTTACTGTTTTTATTGTTGATGATGGAGATAGAAGAATAACAGGTTGTAATTTAGGACTTGGTCGTGGTGATGGTCGTTGATTTTCTCGAAAAACAGGTATAACACGACGTTTAATACCATTTGGTTTTTTTAATGCACTTTTTTCAGGTTGTCGTGATAGATCAGGTTCTTTAGCTGGAATTTCTTCATATTTAGTTGTATCAATATCTTGTATAATACTTTGTTTTGTTGTTTGAATTATTGGTGTTGATGAAGAATTTGTTGATGATGATGATGATGATGATGATGATATATTATTTGTTGTATTAGAAATTTGTTTTTCATTGATACTATTTGATATTAATGTTGGAGATGATGTATTTCGATTATTTACAGGTGAATTATATATTTGAAATTTTTCTTTTAATATTGTATTTGATGGATTAATATTAGCATAAATAATATTATTATCATTTATTATATCATTAATAGGTTTAAATTGATTTGATATAAGATTATTGGAAAAAGCAACATGACGTTGTTCAATTGTATTAGATGTTGAAGGAGAAAATGGAGTTGGTGTAGTAGTTGATGATGATGAAAGATTATTATTTAAATAATTGGAACGTATTGGTGTAAAACGATTTATATCAGGTTTAGGAGCAACTAAAAACATATATATTGTAATTAAATCACTTATATTAACTTAAAAAACTAGAACGATGAAGTTTTATCAGCAATTATTTATTCTGAATAATATTTATCAAAAACTTTAGTGAATATATTGAAAGAAAAAAGAATAATTTTGTCAAGTCTAGGAAGAAGATTATTGTTTCTTATGATATCCGATCTTTCTGGTAAATTAGTTTTGATTCCTAAATGTTCAAATCGACTAATGAGAAAGAAAAAAGTTTAATTAAGGTGACCTGCTTTCCAAAGTTTCTAAAGAACGGCTCATGAGAAATATTTAAAACTTTCAGAGTAAATTGATCTCGATGAGTAGAACAAAAGTTGTCATAAACTTCAAACTCCTAAATACTTCCTTCTAGCAAAATATCTGGATTGCAAAGGCTAACATTTGTTTTTTAGAAGATACTAGTATCTGTTTGGGATACCTACTTTTTTTTTGTTTTATCTCTTTCCATTCAAATAAAAAGATCAAAATACTGAGCGTATCACATGTTGTTTTTTTTCGTAAAATCTGCCAAAAATCAACGATGTCATATTTTTTAAAACAAATGTAGGTACCCTAAACAATGTGCAGTACTTGTAAACGAGACAGCAATGTTAGAAGTTTATGATCCATGTTCTTAACACCTTTGGAATGAGAGAGATAATTATTATCATGAGAAGAATTTTGCATACAAAGAATAATTGCAGTACAAGTTTTTGTCAGAATTGGATTTAATAAAAGTATTAATTAACAATGAAGAGCTCGTATTTATATGGCATTTGACAGAGGACACTTCAAAGCTATATCAGCGATGAACAACCAAAAATTAAAAAAACTTTGATCTTAACATCTGGAAAGAGGATGTCTCTCAAGCTTCTCTCAAAAAGTGATCTTATGTCAGGTGCATTCAAATCGTATGAAATTTTCAGTAGTATCTCACGACGTTTTCAGGACATACTCAACAAACAAAGGTTAAAAATAGTTTATTTGGGAATCTAAAATTCTCTGTGAATCTTCAATGTATGTACGTAATTTTTCTTTTGTTTGAACGAGCATGTCAAGATGCACGGTGTGACAAAGTCGTTTTAAACAAAATTTTAAAAAAATCAATAAAAGATTTCTTGTTCTTTCTGAAGACAGCATATTGTTTTAAGTATGTGATGACAGAAATCATAGAAAAAGCGAGGCGTCAAATAAAAAAAAAATCGTATCATTTATGAAAAATTAGACCTTGAGCTATCGTTCCTTACATTTATCTTAATTTCAATAATTCAGACAAAAATTTGACTATTTTTTTCAAGGTAACCTTAAAATGAATTGATATACATACCAGGAGGTGGAATTTTAGATGAATTGATTGATGATATTATTAAAGGTGTTGTACTATTTGTTGTTTCTGTCGTTGTTGAAACATTAACAGATGCTGGTCCTATTGATAATGGTGTCAATGTTTTTGTATTTTCAATAAATTGTGTCGGTAATGTTCGACTTGTTGATAAAGGTTCTGGACGAGAAGATATCGATTCTGTCGTATTAGTATTTGAAGTCATTGATGTGGAAGAATTTGCCCAAGGTGATTGAATATAACCACGAATATTTGTTGATGGACGATCAAAATCTACTGTCGCACAATCAACACTATTTGATCGAATTGTTGGAGGAGCAATTTGTTCTGTAACAATAATTCGTTGTGATGATAGTGGATTTGAAACTAAATCAGTTGACATTGAACGTATAGTTGTCGATGGATGAGTTTGTGATAGATCATTATCCATTGCCATATAATGTTTAGTAGATGAAGGAGGTGAAGATGGTGTTGAAAAATTTGTTGATATAGTTGATGTTGGCGGTGTTGATAATGATGGTGGTTTTTTTCTTGTACGCCATGATGAAAATCCTTGACGTATCATTTTTTGAAGAGAAAATTTTCCATTTGTATTATTTATTCGTTTTGTTGTTTCATTTGATTTTATAGTTGAATCTATATCAGATGGTGTTAAATAATTAGTTTCATTTTCTGATGGAATAATATCATGTTTAGTTGTTATTGTTGTATTTTGATAATGATCTTTTGGCATTGTAGATGATTTCGAATTTATTTGTTGATTATATGTTGTTGATGAATAATCGTATGAGTCACGAGTTAATGGTGTTGATAAAGAATGAAGATTGTTATTATTATTATTATTATTGATATTAGGTGTGTTTATAAGTCCAACATTTTCATATGTTGCCATAGGTAAGATGACATCCTGTGAAGAAATTAAATGAAAGGAAAAAAAAATAAGCTTTGAGTATTTATATATTATTCGATCATCGTTTCTTTCTCTTTTATAGTTCTTATCAATAAATATATATATATATATACATATATGTATAAAGAAAAGAGAAAATGCTCAGGGGAAAGAGATGGAGAGAGAGAGAGAGAAAATAAAATTTGAATAGTTGACATGAACCATGTCTACCAAGGTTGAAAGGGCACTTGTGAATCCATTCTACATATGTGTTCATATGGTGTGTGAGATGAATCTGATGATTAAAAAAAAGTACGAAAAAAAAAAAATAATGATCATTGTTAACAAATAATTTTCTTTACAGACGAACATCATTATCATAAATCAATTATACACATACCTTATCAGCTTTTTCTTTCTCATTAATATTGTTCTCAGACGTATATATGATAGATATTTCTTCACTTTGACATCGTCGCCGTGAATTAGTTACACCCATTATCTTAGAAAAGAATTAACTAAAACTTTATTTCTTTTGCATTTATCTCAATGAAAATGATAAATTTTGTCAAATTACGTTCTTCTTCTTCTTGTTCGTCATTTGAAAGTAATACAAAGTTTTTCTTTTTCGTTTGCTGTCTGGCCAAGCGAACAAATGCATATATGCGTAATCACCAATGAAGGTCATCCCGCCTACTCGCATATTGCTCGCCTTCTTTTTTTTATATCTATATACATCAATGCAAAAACAAAATAACATACTGGCCTTTCTAACCCTATTAGTGTATTGTTTACTCATCAATCACAAATAGACCAATCTATATCTCTATACACCTATTTCTCTCAAAACTTCCATTAGAATACATGGTATCTTATCCAAGAGAGAGAATAATGATGAAATAATTAACAGAAAAAAGAAAAATAACAACATAACAAGTCGAGTTTGATGTATGATTCATTGAAAACTATATACATCGAAACGATTTAAACATACATAGACATAAGCTTACCGATACAGTGCGAAGCGAAAGACAGTAGAAGAAATTTATTTGATAAATCCCAAAACAATCAGCTAAAGAAAAGAAGACAGCATGAGACGACTATGAAAACAAGAAAAACGATGTCGCAATGTCAATATATTTATATATTCGTCTTTCTATACAATACACGAACGAGTAACGATTAGTTGTAATAGTGTTGTGAAGACATCGGTATAGATTGTATACAGAAAAGAAAATGCATTAAGTATCAAAGAGAGAATCAACGACGCAAAATATCTCATATGAGAAAGAAACATTGCGATAAGTAATATTCTTACTAATATATATGCAGCTGGCGCATAGAACATAAAAAAAAGACATAATCACTATCAGCTATTATTCGCTCGAAAATATTTTTGTGGAATTAATAAATATTCTCATATATGAATAAAGATTAGTAATATATAATAAAAAGAAAAAAAAAGAAGGTAAATTAATTTGTTTTCTATACAAGAATTCAAATAATATGTATTTTTAAGAAGGTAAAGGAAGATATTCATCTAACTTTTGTTTTTTATTCATATCTACAGGCTGTAATGTTATAAAAGAAATAAATATTAAATGGTAGAAAAATGATATTCATTTAATAAATATGATTGGAATCAGTATATATATATATATATATATATAAATTCATTTGAAACTTACACCTGTATTGGCAAAGGTGTAGTTGAAAACATTCGAACAATTTTCTTCGTTATATTCATATTTATTATTTTCATTCTTCTTCGCATCGCCATAAATAGCATTGATAAGACCATTTAGATCGTCATGTTTTTGATAGTAATAATCATCACTAATACTATGAGATAATTGACGTGGCTGCGAATGATAAGATTTACTTCTTTGATTATTACATTTACTTGGATTCGTATATATGGAAAGCGGAGATTTTATGTTAGATGGTGGGCGACGATATACACCATAGACATTTGAAGCATATGGTATATTAATATGGTCATATGATCGATTGAATAGAGTCGAACGTTGAAAATATGATGAATTCAGTCTTCGATCTGTTTTCGAATATGAATTCCAATGAATGTTAACTGATTGATCATATTGTGGTTCATATTTATTTTCATATAAATATTTCGATTGAGTTGGTGATGATGATTGAATCGGTTTAGATGTCATAATACATTTTTATCGCCAATAAATATTATTTATTATTATGTTTTGTTTGCTTCTTTATTTTTTATTTAAATTTCTTCGGTTCACTTTGGTTTCGTTTGTAAAATTAATGTTATAAAATATACTTATTACTATTCGTAGAACATACACAGAGGAAGAAGAAGAAAAAAAAATAGACAAATGACAAATATTCGTCGAACGAGAACATTATAAGTGAAGTTTTTTTTCCCCCTTTCGATTTCAATCGTCTCTCTGTTTTTTTTTTAATCATGAAATACACTTAAAGCAAACGAAAACGAAGGCTAATACTGAAATCATACAACATGAAGGCATATAAATTGGATGATGAGAGAAGAGTAAATGTAAGTAAAGAAAAAAAAAAATTAAATGTATTTCGAAAGACAAATTGTGCAAAGAAATCACTCAAGAGAACAATAAAAAGTCAGCGTGTACGTGAACACTTTTACTTATAAAAAGAAAAATAAATGAAATCATTCTGTCTACTTACCAATCGATTAAATTTTGTTAAATATAAAAGAAGAATGTTCAAATTCTTCTGAGTACTATAAATAATCGAAAGACACAATACAAACACATGTATAGAAAGAAAAGAACTCAATAATATAATGATAACAGAACAACATTCAATCATAATGAATCATATTGACTCAATATTCTATTTCTATTTGTCAAATCATTCAACCAATCAATATTGATTTTATTAAGTGTCATCTATTTTTTGAAAATTTGACATTTATTAAAATCAAAATAGATAGAAAAATAAAAACTAACAAAAAAAGAAATGATTAAATTTTTATATACTATCTATTATATTATATTTATTATTATTAATTTTTTAAATTGGTTGCCATGACATATAAGTAATTCTCAAGTTTGCAAATATGTGTATATTGTCAAACATAATTGAATTTAAAAAAAAAAATACATAAAGTAATGTTCAATGACTACAACAGATCGAAGTCGTATACGTCCAATGGGACATTCGACTATTCATCAATCTCAGCATACGCGTACATCACCAGCAAACAATTCCAAAGGAATTAAAATTCGGTATTTTTTTTTCATTAATATAAAAAAAATAAAATCAAGATGAAAGAAAATTTTTAGATTTGGCAATAATCAATCAACATTGACTTCAATGTCGAAACCAGCATCAATATTGAAAAAACAAAGAGAAAATAAGCCATACGTTGATCATTTTAATGAAAATGTCAACGATTGGCAACCACCAAGTGATCTTGAATTAATTTCAACAAAAAAAATGTATAGTCCTATTGGTACACCACCGCGATTACGAACGTATGTAATGTTTTTTTTTTTAAGAAGTATATGTGTCTTTGATTGTTTGAGGATGAAAAAGATTAGATATGACACAATAATTTATGAGTATATAGTAAAAAAAAAGTATTTGCAATAAAGATTAATCCTTTGATATACATTAAGAAAATAGATCCTCATTGAAAAAAAAAACCTACAGTAAAGATAATATTTAATAAAAACTAAAGCAAACGTAATATAATATTTGAAAAAAGTCAAATAGAGAATAGCCAGTTGAATCACTCTGTGGTAACGAAGAACAATGTTTCAGTTGTATCAAATATCAAAAAAAAATTTTTTTGACTTTGATATAATCAAAAATTCCTTCTTTGTACATAAAATAAGTGTAACTCCTAATTTGTTTTGTTTCCTAAACAATATTAAACTAATATGCTTTGTTCTTTCGCATATCAACAATATCTCTTAGAGAGAAAATTAAACTATTATTCTAGACTCATAACTCCACCTGGTATTGAACCCTATCGAAATACTTTCAATTTACGTCGAATAAATAGTCCATTACCATCACTTGATGATTGGCAGTAAGTATCTAAGAAAAATACAAGATTTATTTTTAACAAAATAAAATGACTTATTTAGTATTCCTCCAGATGGTCTTGATACATGGGGACTTGATCCCATCGATTATCGTTTAAATCAAGACCTACATTTAATTCGACGCTATCCATCACCATTAACACATTTCGGTCTAGGAAGTCAAGCTCAAAAACAAAAAAAGGTAATGAACCAAAAAAAAAACATTTCTTTTATATTAAAACAATATCAATCTGTTCTATCAGTCATACATTGTGGTACCTCGTCTATCCAGTTTCACCACTCCACCTATTAGTAGAGATGGTGCTGGTGGTACTTTCACAATACCTTCTCATCAAGCAGCATCAACCTACGTTCCTGATTCTGAATATATATATCTTGAAAGAGTTCGTTCATATCCTTCACCGAAATTTCAACGAGTGAGTTTGCTTATCAATTCTTTTCTTTTCTTTTTTTTTTTTTGTTCTTGCATCTTAGAACAGTAATCATAAACTTTGTTTTATGTCTCTATGATGAAAATCAAAGATAAGAATGAAAAAAGAAAAGCGAAAAACCGACAATATTTATTTTTAGGAACCTTCTGATTACATTTATGTTCGTCGTAATGATGCATTTGCAAATCGTTTTATAGAAGATTTTATCGGTAAATGTATTGAAGATCAATTTATACCAGATATTTTACTTGAAATAGTTAGTGAACTTGATCGAGAAGTAAATATGCTCATTATGAAAGATTTTTTTTTTTGAAAAAGTGAAAATATTTCTTATTTTGAAGAATAAAAATCAAAGTGTAAAATCGTTTAAACCTGAAGTTGATCGATATTATACTGAATTAAATAATTTTATTAGCCAAAAAGAAATTGATAACACTCAGTATGTTGTTTCTTTGTTTTTTATTTTTGTTATAATGAAATTTTTCTTTTATTTAGTTTATTCTCTGACGCATGGATACGTGAACTTGATTATCAACGTCCACCAATTCCTTCATCAAATATTGATTCTAATATATCATTACTTAAACCATTAGATTTCAGAGAATTTCCACGTACTCAAATAACGACAAAAAAAAGATATCACGATTTACCTCCAGATATACAAGGACGTCTCTTACAAGATATTAATCAAGAATTAATTGATTACGAAGTAGAAAATATGGTTACAGAAATAACTGGTCAAACTTTAACCAATAAAGTGAGTATAGTGACGAACAAAAGTTTAGAGCAATTGTATTTTTAAGTTTTCTTCTCGATGGTAATAGCTAGCAAGAATCTGAAAAAAGAACATTTGTGTAACTGAAATGATTCTCTATTAGGATTGATAGGTCAGAAGGTTCCTACAAAACTGCTTGGATGAGGATCTGAGAAAAACCAAGACGCCTAAAACCAGTTTTCAAGTTTCCATTTTGAAGTTGCTGGGAAAACATTTCCTCTGCTAGAGCAAGATGAGATGTCTTCAATCTCTCCATGACTACTCTTCATCAAGCTACATTCAATTTACGAACGACTCCAAAACGTAAAATCTGACACAAAAAAGTGAAATTTTCAAAAAAAACAAATAGATGAGAAAAATGCTTCTTGGGTCTTCTGTAAATTGAATGCAATTCGATGAAGGAAGATCATGGAGAGGTCGAAGATATCTCATCTTACTCTATCAAATAAAATCTTTTTTTCAAAAACTTCAGATGGAAGCTAGAAAGTTGTTTTTGGCGGGTCTTGGTTTTCTGAAAATTCTCACCCAAATAGTTCTGTTGGAGCCTCCGAACCTACCAATCCTAATAGAGAATCGTTTCAGCTACACAAATGTTTTTTGTTTTCAGATTGTTGCTAGCTATGACCATCGAGAAGAAAATTTAAAAATACAACTGCTGTAAACTGATGTCCGTCACTATATATTAAAATTTTCTTTTTTTCATTTGTTAAATTCTGCTATTTATAGTTACGTAATGTTCCAGCTGTAAATGATGCTACGAATGATATCTATCGTGATATTGAATCGGAGGTTATAAGAGAAATAATGCGTGATACAGCTTACGATGTTCATAGTTCTCAAAGAAATCAAATTGATCAAGTTCAATTTAATTCAATAGAAAAACAAGCACAAAATAAATTATTAGATACAATATTGTTAGATCAATTAACTGGAAAATATATTAAACAAAATGGTTCAGTTGTTGATGTTGATGATCTTTCGCGTTTCTTAGACGGTAAATGTTTTTTTTTTGTGTTATTTATTTTATTTAATTGAAATTTTATTTTATAAATTATATTTATTTTAGCAACTATTCTTGATAGTTTAGTTTATCATTATCAAGATATAAATGATAATCGTTCGAGAACATTAGATAATTATGCTTTAAGAAAATTTCATCTTAATTCATTTATGAATATGGTAAGAAAAACAGAACATGACAAGAAATTTTATTTGAAATTTTATTTTTCTAGACAATGGATTTATTATTAACTGAACTTAGTGCTAGTCTTATTGAAGATATGAAAGATTTAGATGAACAAGAACGAAAAATATTTTAAATTTATCCAAATCTATCTTAACAATTCTTTTGTTTTGTTTTTATATAGCTATTGTCTTAGAAAAATAGTTATCAAATCCTATGAAATAGGATCAGACAAGTATTCTATTTCTCTTATGATATTATCTATTGCGTATGTGATTAATACTATTGGTCAGTAAATGCTATTGTGTGACGTTTTATTTATTATTATTAAAAACATATTGGGAGCTTCTTTTGTGTGTATTTATTTTCTTTTTGCTACACGTTCTTTTTTTTTCTCATATCAATTTTCCTACACAATATGTAACTTCTTGTTGATGTTTCCCTTGAGTGTTGCTGCATACTTAACTATTGTTTTCTTTACATACACATCTGTATAAATTATGAGATTGACAAAACATATGATAATTATGCAGTTTTTCACTACGCTTAAATAAATGTTATGTGTATTTATGATTTTTATATGCTTCATTGTTAGTGAATGAAACTTTAAGCATGATAATAAATGATGCTGAGAAAATTTTATTTATTGATTTAATAAAAATTTTCATCGCCATATTAAAATTATTTTGGAATATAGTTATTATATGATTATTAATCA